GGAATTAATAACGAGATAAAACACCTGTTGTGGTGTGTGCCCAGGCTCTGGGAATGGGGTGTCTTCTCTCTGAACCAATCACCTTTTCTCTACTCTTGGAATTGGGAGTCATGCTATAAAACCAAGTGTGCTTCTGAATAAACTTGTCTCTTTCTTTCTATCATGAAAGACGACCATGTAGTTGTGCATCTTATTTCCACCACACTTAAAGGGTTAAAACCCCTTTCCACAGCTACATTCACGATCCTTCTGGATTTCAGAATAATTTCTAAACTTAGTCAACTTTCTCTCCTCTGCCTCCACTGTGCTTTCCATGTGGATATATGTTGATTTTTCAACTTCATGATGAAGATTGCCTGCATCAATTGCAATCTTTTAGGGCCATCTGTTAATCACCATATTTCCAATCCATTTGGTTTGTTGAATGTATATAAATATTCGCATTTCCTCAGGTTATCTGCTCTTTGAAAATGCTAAACTCAGTCAATCACTATATGCTCCATAAATGCCTGTTAATGACTGGCCTTATGGCTCTAAATTCCCTGATGGATAACTGTGTGTTTCAAAAAGTAAAATCATGGTAAAACTAAAACACAGTTCAGTTATGATTTTTGAAGTCCTGAAACTTCTGACATTTGCTAAACTTCCTTTAACTTGTTTCCAGTCATTCAAGCTCACAGGATTCCGTGTAAACTCCTAAGAAAGGCCAACTCAATTAGACGCTCTTACTAGCAGAAATGCCAAAAAATTGTTGTTATGCTTAGCCCACTATCTCACCTGTATCCTTCTGAAATTCCTGCTTCCTGAACTAGATTCAACTCTGCTTTGAAAGCTGTCTATAGCTGATTACCTACCACTTCACAACAGACTTGGGTGTTACTTTACCATCTTTTCAATGAATTTTCCTTTTCCTGTTCTCTTGCATTACTATACTGTACCTGCCTTGATTATCACTTCTTCTCTGATGAACCATGTCTGGTGCCTTTTAATTGTTTCTTTGAAACCTGGTGGTTCCCAAATCAACTCAAAATGTTTTCTTGGTTTCAGCTATCTTGGCTAAGCCTTTTTTTTTATATGAGTGGAAGATAAAAATGATGTTATTTCAATCAATGTGTTCTATCAAATTTAAACGAAGGTCACTTGTCTGACTTGCATCCTCTCTTTTAATATCCTTTGTTTTTTGCTGGTTTTCATAATGATATTACAAAGGGTTCTGAGGTGCCTGTATGGAGGACACTTTATAAATGACAATTTATTTGACAAGTGATGTCTATGTGAACTAAATTCGTAATTACCTCCCACGAGAAATGAAGAGCAGAGTTTCGGAGTAAGAATTTTAATGGCTGCTGCTTCTTGGGCTCCTCACTCCCAAAAGGACATTGAGGTGCTGGAGCATGTCCAAAGGAGGGCAATGAAACTGGTGAAGGGTCTGGAAAACATCCTATGAGGAGTGGCTGAGAGAACAGGTGTTGTTTCATCTGGAGAAGAGGACACTCAGGGGCACCTCATTGATTTCAATAACTACATGAGAGGAGATTTTAGTGAGATGAGTGTCAGTCCCTTCTGATACCTTTTAAGTGAGAGGACAAAAGGAAATGGCCGTAAATTGTGCCAGGATTAGATATTAGAAACAAAATTCTCTCTGAAAGAGTAGTCAGGCTTTGGAATAAGTTGACCAGGGAGGGGGTGCAGTCTGGAATCACTCAAGAGGCATCTAGATGTGGAACCCTGGGATTTCATTTAAGGATGATTATGGTGCTGCTGGGTTGATGCTTGGAATGGATTACCTTGAACATCTCTTCCAACCTTGATGACTCTGTGATTCTGTGATTCTACTGCCTCAGTGATCTTGTCAAGTAACTTCCTTTAGCTCTGTTCATCCTATTATGTGATTATGTGCATCTGCAGGTTCAGCAGGGACAATGATGATCCTGTTACAGAGATATTCCCAAGCAGTGTGGTGAATGGTACCTTCTTTGCATTTTTTAAATATTCAAGAAGACAACCTCCTCAGAGCCCTATTTAAAATCAAAATATATCACTCATGGCTTTTTAAGATCACTTGCTGTGCTACTACTGTTCATTATTTAAGTGCTGTGCAAGGTACAAATAGACTTATAAATGTTGTCAAAATATTTTATTTTTTCACATTATGCCTCAGCTTCCCTACTGTGTGAACATTGATTATTTTCACGTCAGTCAAAAATATATCAAAGTGTACATCTTCGAAAACAGAGTCTACCCTGGCTTGTAGCCTTGGCAGGTTGTAGAAAATCCTCTGGGACTTCTGGAATTGGCCCCAGTAAGCTCCAGAAAAAAAGGAACAGCAATAAGAGACTCAAGTCTTATACATCTTTTCTATTCTTTTACAAACAAGAACCCCAGATCAGTATCCCTTGCAAGTCATAGCACTTTACTCTTTAGAATGGTTTCAATCAGACTGCCATGTGCCAGAAATGCCAATTCTGCCCCCTCGTAGCTGTTATTTTACCTGTAACATGTTTTTCATTATTCCCTTTGTCCAAATCAAATTATGTACTCATGAAATCTAATTGAAAGGCAAATTCTAGTACATTTTTTCTAAAGAGATCTGCTGAAGTGAGTGGAAATTAGCAGAGATGGGCGACTGAACAAGGCTCATGAGGAAATTGAAAATTAATTTGCAAGCAAAAGAGACCACCTTGTCACTGCTTTCACTGTTGAAATGCACTTTTCAAATGTTCTGGAGGGATTTTCTTTTTTTTCTCCCTCTCTAACTTTCCTAGTACGTGTGAAATTACAGTTCGGGTCAAAGTTAAAAGTCAGTCAAAAAGGTTTGAAAAGTTGACTCCTCCAACCTCCCATAGCTGATTTCAGTTGTCTTGCTGAACAATCCAGTTCTGAACTAGTCTCAATCTCATGTCAGCTCATCATAACCTCTTAGTAGCTTGCACCAGAAAGGAGTTTTCTCACAGATAAATTACTTCCCTCTCTGATTTATCTTGGAGCCAAGGCAGAGAGTGTCTGGGGGAAGCTGGCTGGTCCGGGGCAACATGTCTCCAGTGAAACAGGGGATGGTAGATAACAGGAAAAACGTAGTAAGGGCAAAGGGAAAATAGTGACACATGCAGAGCAACTAAGAAGTCTCAAATTCCTCCCTTTTAAAAAGTAAAGTAATGGATTATGTTTTAAGTCAGTAAAATCAGGAATGGTGACAAGCAAATTAATTGCAAATGGTTACTCACTGTTTATAAACATGATGCAGCACTCAAATGAATAATAAAACTGTGAATTAAAGGAAACAAAAAGAAACATTTTTATCACAAAGGACTTAAGCAAATTGTAAAAAATCTTTATTATTGAGTGACAAAGGAGCCAAATGTACTATTAACTTGAGAAAGGCATCAGAAAAAGTTGTGCACTGGGTATATTACCTCCAGCTTAGAGGTTCCTGGAAGACAGGGAGATGCAAGGATCATGCTAATCATGCCCTACTTCTCACAAGCCTTGTCTAGACATCTGCTTCTGGAAAAGGTTAAACAAAACTTCATCTGGAGCCAGGATATGCATTATTATTTAATCATGGCACGTAAATTGCAAATTAATTCCCTGTGCTATAGTAGAACAACGCTCCAGATTCAGAAATACGGGAATATATAAAGCTGAAGTTTGTGCCAGATGCTTTTGGTCTGATATCAGATCTCACTTTCAAACCCATGTGACTCTGGGGAGCAAGACCTGCAGATCTGAGTCAAAGCATCACAATGAGATCAGGGAGTCTTTTATTAGGACAAACAACACTTGGATTTTAAGAAAACTGATTATCATGACAGTAAGAAAATACAATGTCTATCCCAAAATTTTCTGCAATCACAGACTGCTGGAGTGTTCAAGACTGTTTTGACAAAACATCACTGAATGCTTTCTGTACTTTTGTACACATTATCTACTGTTTTATCCTTCTACTCCTGCCTAAGCTCTCTGTTTTCCACTACCAGAGAGAGTATCCTGAATGATGAACACTTGATCTGCCTTGTTGTGATTGTTCTGGTGTGGTTATGATCCTGTAGATATCTCCCATAACTATCAGATCCTTTAAAATCTCAGCTAATAACAAGGATGAGATATTGGATAAAGGTACTGAGGCTGCAGAACTTTGTTCTGTCTCTAGTGCAGTCCAATATTGCCACTTTCTTACTCACTTTCCCAACCAATCCTCACGTCAATGGTGTTGGTGTGCCCTGCAGAGCACAGGCAGAGCAGAGAGAAGTTGATGACAGATAAATAATCCACTGAAATTTACGCTATCCAAGGATCCACCCCCATTTGGCTCTCTTGAGTTCATATGGAAAAGGAAGAAGCTGTGACACAGCTTTTACAAGGAAAACAAGTCCAGCTCTTATGTAACTTCAGCAAATAAAAAGTCTGTGTAAACAGGCACTGGCTGTGCAGGAATTTGGTTATCCTTTCAGCTTCTCCTGTTGAATGGTTCAGAATTCAGATTGTGCAAATTTGTGCTTTGGCATCAGCTGAAAATTAATGTATTTTATTTGGTTGATAATAATACAATATTATGACTGATATTAATAATACAATAACTATTAAGGCTGGTATTAATTCTTAGTTAACTGACAATCTTTGTTTTCCTTAATATGGCTTGCTTCCCAAACTAAAGCCATGGAACAAATCACAAAGTTGCTCTTGTAGAAGAGGCAGTGCAAAAACAAATTGTTAATTACATTTATAATCATTCCTGGCTAGAGCTCTGTGAGTCAATTTTTGGAAATATAATTTGTGGTTCAACCAGAGTTTAATGCCCCCAAACACTGCATAGCTCATCCTCAAGGCAGAGACAATTTACAAAGTTGATGTCGTTATTTAAGATCCAAGACATTCTTTTATGCAAACTTTCCTAACTGCTATTTTTGCAGCCTACAAAGCTGTCTTCGTCTCTTTCATTTTTTTAAGCAGATATTTTTGCTTCTCCTGTCTAATCAAATCCTGTTTGTTGTTCATTGCAGATTGCTGCTCAGGCAGTGTTATTTATGTGTATGAACACTGCAGGAATCTTCATTAGCTACCTATCAGACAGAGCACAGCGTCAAGCCTTCCTGGAGACCAGAAGATGTGTGGAAGCCAGACTGAGACTAGAGACAGAAAACCAGCGACAGGTATGGTCACCTGGGAAAACATTCCTATGATTGTATTGACTGCTATTGATAATTAGACAAGACCAGGTTTTTGTAGCCTTGTTGGTCCCAGTGTGGTACCACCTGATTTGTGCAGGTTAAGCAAGTTTTATGCTGTTACTGTGCTGGTGTGTACTGAGTATAGCAACTAAAAGATTTCCCCCAGGAAACAAGATGAATAGAGTGTCTGCTCATCATCCTTCCCCACAGAGGAGGCCATCAAATGAAACAGCAACTGGCAGGTGTTTCAAAATGCTTCTTTACACAAGAGGGGTTGAGCTGGGGAACTTCATGTTTCAGAGTGTTGTAGATATTAAAACTTGCATTAGTCAAGTGAAAGATATTCCAGAACCATCTGGATGCAATCCTGTGCCATGTGCTCTGGGATGGCTTTTCTTGAGCAGGGAGGCTGGACCAGGTGACCCACTGTGGTCCCTACCAATCTGACTGCTTTTGTGAGTCTTTCAAAGCTAAGCAAATTCATGAAAGTAAACTCTATCTAGGAAGAGAAAATACTAAACCATCCCTTCAGGCTCACAGATCGATTTTTGCAGCTGGGAGACCACTGCAGCAAAGTACTATTCTGTTTCTCTGTTTTTAAACTCTTCTTGAAAAATTAACTTTTGGCCACTGTGTGCAATAGCATACTGGATTAGATGTACTTTTGATCTGAATAGGTATGGTTGATCTTAGGTAATCCTCTTTTATGATCCAAAACAAGTATGGAATAAAAAGAAGTTTGCTGCTTATTATTTTGCACCAAGGGAGCAGCATCCGTATCATTTATGGTACATTGCTGTATCATTTTAAGATGAATTTAGCTTTTAATTTTTCCCAGTTGTATAAATATGTATATGAATTCTCAAATTTATTTCATTTGCCCCCCGAAACTCATGCTCTTATACAGAGTTCTAGGAAGATGTCCTGTTCTGGACTTCATTGATTAATGACTCAGTACACGACTGTGTTGAGTAATGCCAAGGATCTCTGCCAGAACATCTCTGCAGCCACTGCTGACTGAAAAGACTTTGAGGGATATTATCTAGGATGCTTTGTACTCTTTTTAACTGCAGGATTATATTTTCATGTCTTTTGGGGATTTTGGGGTGTTTAGGTTTTTTCCTTTCTCCTCTTGCCCAATTTTTCATAAATCATGATTTTGTAAGCTTTACTTTGATTATAGTTTTCTTGAGTTCATTGTAAAAAGCTTTATAATACTAACAAAAGAATCCCTTGTTCCTTTGTTCCATTTTATTTTGAGGTTTTCCCATTAGAAATATTTTATCCTCTCATGTAAAATGAAGTTAGTGCAAAGACAAATATTTTGAGAAATCCAATTTTGCTGAATTTGTATTATCTACCAGAAAAGTGAAAACAGATATTTTTCCATTTGGGTGGGCAGATTTTTTTTTTTCTTCTTTTTTTTTTTTTTTTTTTTTTTTTTTTTTTTTTTTTTTTGGGGGGGGAGGGCGGGGGAGGAGTGGGAATGTAGTGGGTCGAACTGTGAATTTTGTCTTGGCCCCATGCTTTGTAAGGTTTCAGGGCTTTGTTGCTCCCTGAGGGCAGAACTTCCTGGAGTATTACCTCAGTGCAGCTGAGATTCCCCATAACCAAACAAAGTAGTGTGTCACAGGCATCATATGACTGGAAATGCATAAGGGGAAATGTCCTTGGGCCAAGGAAAATGCCCACAGGAGAAAAAGGCAGACAACAGGACTTCTGAAACTTAATTTAATAATAAACTAACTCAAAATTTTGAAGCAAAAAATTTTGAAATATTTCCGATTAATTTTCTTGGAACTTTGCAATTTTGTTATTATGCGCATTGCTATATGTAAAAATGTTTAATAAACTTTTCAGCTTTTCATTTGTATTTGGAACAGCAACATTAAAAAAATATTCCAATACTGGAACATCTTGAGGAATGGAGAGCCTGTTTCCCTCATCATTCTATTTTTTTCCATTTACTTCTGAGGTAGCATCTCATTTAAGCAATTTTTAAACCTATCTGCTTTTAGAAGACTGGCAAGGTCACAATTGAGGTGACCACTTTTTACAGCAGCTTGTTCACGCTCACTTAACGAGTGCAGAGGCAGTAATTCAGTGACTGCTAGCATTTTTCTGTCTTGAGGACAAATATTGCATGATACATGCAATCTGTAGTTCAGATGAATGTAAGAAAAACCTTAATGCCTATTAATGCATAATACATTTTAAAAGGTAAGAGTTAAAGTTTACTAAATTAATTAAATTACTTTAATTTCCTATGAAGGGGGAAAAAGACTTGGGAAAAGAATGTACAGGATGATAGTTGTTGCTTCTGAAAATTTCTAGAAATATTGTTGAGGAACAAAAATTTGCAGGGAAAATAGAGGAATAATTATTTGAGTAATTCTTCCAGACAATCCAGGAAATCAAGATTTATTCCACTTCAATTATTTCCCTTTCATTTCCCATAAACTGTTTAAACTAAAGGGTACTTACAGCAAGGACAAGTTTTTTGTTGCTTTCACTGATGGTATTGCTACATTCCATAGCAGTGGATGACAATTTAAATCTCTTGAGTCTTCTTTCATCCCCACACATCTTCTGCTTCTTAAAGTGAAAGTAATAAAAAATTAAACTGTATTGAGGTGTCATATGTATGGCATGTCATATGAAATGTAATAGCTTGTCAGAAAGAACCTGTAAGGTTTGTTTTTTTCTTTACTTTGTTTAAATCTGAAGACCAGTAAAATAAAAGTAAGAACAAAACAATATGAGTTTTAAACTACAAGGAGTGTATGCTTGTCCATAAACAATTACAGAACGAGGCTCCAATTTTATATAATCATGGAAGTTATATAAATGCTTCAGATATACTTCTATTCATTACTGTGTATCGTTAAAACCAAGAAATTAAGTTTCTGCTCTCCCTTCCAATTCCTCAATATCCCTCAGATTCATAACCTCTACTCTTCTGTCATTCTAATAATGATAAATTCTACTGCTCTCATTATGCAGTGTTGTGCAATGCCTAAGAGAGCCAGTCATGGAAAGTCACCCAGTTTTGAGCCAAAAGAAAAGAAAAAAGCAAGAGATAACACTAGAATTGTGGATTCATACAGGGAAATAAAAATACTGACAAGGAAGGATCTCTCATTGTCAGAGGTTATTAAGGACCTTCTAATAAGTATTTGTGGATTTTCTGGAATACAAATATAAACTTTCTACAGTCAGCTTCTGCTGTTTGTGAAAAACAAGAGATTTTTCTGTATTTCCAGATACATTTCATACATATGAACTGATTTTTTTTTTCCAGTGAAAGCAGTTTCATTCATTCACTTGCGACTATTACATAAGGAGCAATGAAAAGAGGAGGTGAAATCACAAAAATCTGACTAAGGATGAAAAAACTTCTTTGTTGTTTTTCATGTTACTCTGACCTGAAACTTGGATATCATGCATTTTCCAGATGTCATTGTTTTCCAACAGTGTCTCTTTTTTTGGGTTTCCAGGGTTCAAAAATTCCTTGCACTATTTTGTTTTTGCTGTGAAATTTGCCAGTTTGACAGTCAAGGCCATTTTGTTGTTCAGAAATGTCTGGGCCTCTGGTGTCTGTAAATCTGAATTAGCTCAATATATTCATTTTCCACTGAAAATATCTTCAGATGCAAGTTCAGCTTTTACACCAATTGCAATTCATTCAGCAACTGTACAGGAAGGAAGAGAATAGAGTGCAGACCTGGATGATGCAAAAGACTTTATGGAGCTTGGCTGATCCAGGGCAACCTGACTCCAGTTTTGAAGTGCTCAGTTTCCAGTGTCTGTTTCCAAAAGTCTGTATACAATCTATGTACAAAGCACTTGCATCTTTTTCATTCTGCCTTCCGCATCCCCATTTACTGTCAACAAGACTTGTTGATAAAATTTTTGTGCTTCAGAAAGTCAAGAATTTTGGTTTCATTTTCAGATCATCAAGAATCTGATTTTCTATCATTATCCTTTTGTGTTTAAGCATCTGGGATAGTTAAAAGCATATATTAGCATTTTCAATTACAATTAATTTCCTAATTCTAATTACTCTATTATGAAAATGAACAGCAGTGTGGCTACAAAGGAGAATTACTCCAGCAGTCATTGCTAATGATGTTTATGTACTTACCTGTATGACATTAACTGTGTGAGACTATTTGGAAATCCCAGCACCCTGTGAAATGAAGGGAACATCTGTGTCTACTTCTTTCCTAATTTTCGTTTAAAAATTAGAATTTTTGTGAAAATCTAAAACATTTCAGAGCTTGACATAGTTAAAGGCGTTGATGAGTACCAGAAAGACTTTATCATTAAAAGATGAAAATATCAGAGAAGCAAGTTGCAGGAGGCCACACAGACGAAATGTCATAGAAACAGCCTCTGTTTAGCAGTTATTGATAAAATAATGAATTTAAATATTTTCTAATGACTTTTAGTTAGCAGCCTGCTATTAAGAGATGTGTTTATATCAAGCAACCAAATATGGCTGCGAAAAGATGTCCTCCAATTTTGTTTTCAAGACATTTTAATTATGAATAAAAACAAAGGTGAGGCTCTCAGTTTTCATAAATCCATTTTGTTCCAACAATATCATAACTTTCTACTACCTGTTTGAAATTTTGGTTTAATATTCTCGTTTGATATCTACGTGTTTCAAAAATGTTGACAACCAGTGCTATAGTTTGTTAATGAACACTTCAAAGACACTGCCTTTGTTTTTAGCTTGATTTTGTTGTAAGGACACAGCAGGTAATTCTGCTTTCGTCATATCTGGGCAATGAAAATAGATAGTCTAACTCTCTTTCTTAATTAGCTACTGAAAACCCTTCAAACCCAATGAGTATGTAATTTCCTTCCTTGTGAAAATGCAGTGAAATTTCCTTAATGAAGAGCAGAAACCTGCATTAGATTTCTTTTTCATTTCTTTTTCTCAGGATACAAAATCCCTAAATTTTAAATGAATGACA